AAAGAGGATATATGGATATATTCATATCAGATATGAAATACTCTCTGGTAATCCTTTGAAAGCTACAATTAACTCATAATCATATTATAATTTATGAACCATAATACTGGTAAATACTGTGTATTTCTATGCAGTTGTTCAGAACATGTTGAACTTTACAAGAGCTTCTTAGTATAAAAAGAATGTTTAAGCATATTGAAACAATGCAATTTCAATGTGAACATTATTATGCACACATATAAATAAATACATTAGGATACATTTTTATAATAAACTTTCTTATAAATACACAAAATCAAGCAAGGATTCTTGACCTTTTTTGGCAGCCTGATATAGTCTATGAATCCTCTCCCGGGATAATATTTTTAAATGTATAAAATAATACAAATAGGACTAAACAAAAACAATTTTATTAAAATATACCCTATGCATGGCCATAAGTTAAAGACTCACATATCTAGTTTTGAATAGCCCTTTAGTAAATGTACTTAAAAATGCTTGCAGAAATACCTCAATAGAATAGTTTCTTGAATTCTTAAGAACCAACCTGAGATGTGGTCTAAATACCTATGCAATAAAGCCCCTATATTGTATATTGTACATGTGTGTTATTTTTCCTTTAAATCTGGAAGAAAGATTTATTATCAATTTAAGAATAAATATATGATAAAGAGACTGGAGAAGATTGGATTTGTGTTATCCAGAAGAACTGTAAAATCTTGTTATGAGTATACTACAAACTTTGAGCATTTCAGCATAATACATATTTTTAACCCTGCTCAATTCAATTATAAAGTTGTGCTATAGAATAGTTAACTAATCTATGAGTTAAAGTGACAAAGTAAGAGTTAAGTATGAGTTAAGTGACAAAGAAGGCATGAAAAACAGAGTAGAAAGGAGCTCAATAAGCCAGGCATGTTGGCGCATGCCTGTAATCCCAGCACTGGGGAGAATGAGGCAGGAGGATTGCTGCAAGTTCTAGGCCAGGCTAAATTATAGAGTTATGTAGTCAGACCCTGTCTCAAAAAGAAAAGAAAAAAGATCATATCTTATCAATTTAAAAATTTTGAATTTACGCTCTTTATCATATTTTTCTCACTACATAGGAATCCCCCCCCCTTTTTTTTTACTTCATCCCATTTCTCAAGAAAGGAGTAGAATTAAAAGAATTGACCTTGCTTTTAAAAAAAAAAAAAAAAAAAAAAAAAAAAAAAAAAAAAAAGAATTTATTGAAACAAGTGGTGTTGTATAGACATAGTTTGGAAACCATAGCATTTAATGTGAAGATCAGTTGATATTAGTTTCACATTTAGTTTTTCTTCTCTTTCCTTCCTACTTTGCTGTCTTTTTTGATCTATGCAGACTGAAATTATACAATTTTTCTTCAGAGTTCCTTTATGCATAGAACATCTTTTTTGCTTGTGCATATGCTTGATTTTGTATTGACTTTTCTTAGTGATGTATAGATTATGGATTTAGTAAGATCAAGAGATAGACAAATCCTTATGTGACTAAAACTGAGGGTTTTATTCATAAACACAGATAGTACATCTTTTCTTAATTGTATTTAAAATCACTGCTATTATTATGGCAGTTAGTACCACAAATCTCATGGACTATACAACCTAGAAGAATGTTACTAATCACTGTCCAAATATTGACCCTCTACCCACCTGTCTTTATACACAGACTCTTCAGCACCCATGGAGGTGGGAGAAAATGGTCTGTGCTGTGTGACAGACCTGTTGGCTAGGTAAAGTGGATGCTGAGTATTCTGAGTTAGAATGCTTTTGAAGATGAAGAGAATGATCTGTGTTTTTGTTTTCTCTTTTAATCAGAGGAAGGCAAGTTGATCTTATTGGGAGAAGCCTTATTGTCTCTGTGCTCTAGGTATTGTTATAGCATAAGATTATAATTACCGTTAAGCCCTTTTTACAGAAAAAAATGCATAGTGTGGTAAGGTTTGGACAGTGTTGTAGTTTCTCAGCCATATTTTTTCATATCTTTTTACCTTAGACTGTGATAATTTAAAATTTTTATGCCCTGTGGTTATTTTAAATGTTTATGTCACGCTTCTCGGCCTTTTGGCTAAGATCAAGTGTAAATGTTTATGTCAGAAGAAAGCAAAAAGAAACCCAAATCATATGTAATAGAAAGTCAGAAAGGGCAGAAATTAGAAATTTCTGATTAAGAAAAAATTATTGCTATTTTTTTGTGGTTTATTTTTTCTTAGTAATTGTGACTTTGCCACTATGATTTTTTTTTAAAGAATAAGGATGATAACTTATTCTCAAATCCTGCTTTGTTTGTATATAAATATGTGAAGCTTTGTATTTATCATTTCCAAATAAAGTTATTAACTTTTCTTTTTTTATATTACTTTCTGGGTGCACCATGAATCACAGGGAGAAATATCCATATATAAGTGGATCAAAGCATGGGTTTAAAAAAGCAAAGAGAAAGAAAAGGTGATTTACTGGGTCTGATACCCTGTTTAACATTCCAGGATCAAACCAATACCAAATTCCCAGGACATAGTAGGGGGTCCAGCAGACAATAAAGGAAGTGGCAAATGCCACTGTCATCTTCAGTGTCCTCAGCCGTGCTCTTGGTATGTTGTTCTTGGATTGATTCAGTTGTAGTTCTATTAGATGAAGAAAAGAGTATGCATTTAAAGGGAATTTTCTCACAAAACCAAAATGGTCAAAAAGAAAGAATCATTAGTCCAACCTAATGTATGAAAGGGGATAAATTGTCACGTTATTTTGAAGAATGAAAATTTGTTCAAAAAGTGAGTTAATTAAGTTGTTTACACTGTCATGTAATGAAAAGACCAAAGAAAATGCTCTTAAAATTAAGTTTCCACCAAACTAATCTGGTACTCAAACAATTAAAATACGGATTTAGGAAAGTACACAGAGGTTGAGCCAAGTTGAATTATGACTCCACAGAATTACATTCATCGGTGTCCCTGCACAAAGGATAGTGAAAATTGTGTATGGGCACAAGTGTACCACTCAGATCATCTGCTTTAACTATGTACTTCTTTTCTGTGAAATTGGAAATTTAACTTTTCACATAAATGCATCATTTAAAGTCCATAGGTTGTTCTTGTGGAGAAATTTATTGAAATCAATAGAATTAATGATTTCGGTAGTCATGCCAGTGCTATGAAGTTAAGGACTTAGTTTTTAAAGAACTTCATTGGCTGAGTGTGGTACCGCACACCTGTAATCCCAGCACTCTAGAGGCTGAAGCAGGAGGATCACTGCAAGTACGAGGCCAGCCTGGGCAACATAGTGAGTTCAAAGCCAGTTTGAACTATTTAAGAAGGGCCTGTCTCAAAAAACAAAAACAAAATTTTTTTTAAAAAGCTTCATTGTTAAGTGCTCAAAACTCTGGTCTTATGTTTCATAATCTAGAATTGCTGTTTTAAAATGAATACTCTTCATATACTATATTTTTCTGAGGTAAACAATGATATTCTGAAATAGTAATATTACATTTTGTTCATTATGTTATAGCTATAAAATTAATTTTTTACATCAAATATTAAAATAAGCAACTTATTGAATTTATGAGTAGACTAGTTATAGATTTTTTGATTGGACAAATCTAATTACCATTTACTATGGGCTATAGGCCTTGATCTTTTCATAATTATTTTATTTAATCCTCAATAACTGTAAATGTTAGTGACATACAAGTAATAAAGCAATCAGGAGTGAACACATTTTTAAAAAGCAGCTCAGCACGTGGGTTTAATATAAAAATATATAGGCACAGAATTCTGTGCTTTCATTGCTTTGGAAGTATCAGCACACTTGATTATTGGTTTACTGTTTATTCTTTGACTTTTCTATTAGATTATAGCTTTATGTTCCTGTCCTTGGTATCCATATAGCAGTTTCTTGCAAGATTTCGTGGCCACTACATATTAGTTGAATAAATAAAAAAGTAAATTAAATGAATGAATGTGTTAGTAATACGTAACTCTTGCCTCCTGCCTTTGCTTTGCTTTTCTGCTGTTGTACTATTCATATTTCTTGAGATAAATCCATCTTTTAGATTCATCCTATTTCCTGTGCCATTCTTCGATACTCCTTATACAACTGAACCTTTTGGGTAAAATTTTGAAGGAAAATTGTTTTTGTTATATATATATTTTAGATATATTAAATAGCATTTTGTGGTGGCAAGTGGAAATTTATAGAATGTCACTCTTATTATTTCCCTTTGACAATATCTCCTGAGAATGATCATGCCATAATAAGTAAGATACTTTCCCTTTTCAGTCATACCAAATAAAATTTCTGTACCTCGTCATTGTCCACATGTCTTGAGGTATCATGCCAACATAACAAAGCTTATTTCATAAATTCACAAATTTTAGTTTTGGGAAATGCTTCAGATTACTGAAGTAAAAAATATACAACCACATCTATGAAGTTTTGGATAGAATGGTCAGTTGCATACTTAACAATATTTGACACACCAACATACAGATACATGCAGGCAGACACATATAAATGTTCATGACTTACGTTATGTGAATATAGGGGATTTGAATGTGAAACAAAACAGTTAACAAGTCTATTGGCTACCATCTAACAGGTTTTTTACTGTAGTCTAGATGACATATTTGCTCCCAGCAGGAACAATTTCCTGTGCTTAACCTGGGCATTAATGGAATAATTGCCCTTTCTTCTTTAATTCCATGGTATAAATTTAGAACACTAGAAGATATTAAATTATAAGTAAATAAGGGGTAAAATAAAGTTCCATCTCATGGGGTGATTGTGCATATTAAATGAACTAATACATGTGAACTGTTTGCAGTAGTATGTATAGTATGCAATAGTATGCAACAGTAAGTACCACTGTGCTTTAGTGTTGCTGTTTAAAAATGGCCCTCAATAACCAATAAATCTAAGGAATACATACTGTGTGGGTCCTGATGAAGGACCCGTGTCAGGGTAAAGATGATTTTTGCATTGCAGATCAGCATGATGAGAAGAGGGATAATGAAGAGACAGCTGAAGGTGAAGAAGTTATAAAAAGCCTGATGCCACCACTGTGGAAAGCTGCAGTGTGTTACACACTGAGAGAAAACTTCTGTTTTCCCAGAGCCATTTTCTAGGTGAATCATCTTGAAGATATATAACTGCACAAGAAAATAGGACAACAAAGAGTTATGTTACTTTTTTCAAACAGTATTTTAAGGCTTTCTCTCCTGTGTGTTGTTAGATTTATAATATATAGTCACCTAAAGCAATTTCTAAGCTCCATGGCATTATTTTGTTGGAATTTCTATGAAAACTTATAAGCAGGTGTTTACTTAAAACATGATTGGGTAACTGTGAATGGAACTATAGGATTTTGGATTTGGGGAATTATTTCAACCTTGTGGGACAATAATCACTCAAAGATTTAAATCTTGCTTGTATTTTAAATTTCAGATACAATTTGATCATTTTAAGTTTTTGTAAGTGATTTTGTTATAGTACACCAACAGTGCCTAAAACTAGACAGGCAGTTAGAATGCAGTTTGGCAAATACATATTTTAAATTAATTTTGGAGACCAGAAGACCCGTTAAAGTATCACTCTTTAAAATAATGTTCAGGCTGGGGATTTGGCTCAGTGGTTCTGGCACCTGCCTTGCAGCTTAAGGACCTGAGTTTGATCCCCAGTACTGGAAAATAAAATAAAATAAAACAATGTTCAATAGATGTGAACTGTTTACAAGAAAGATAATATAAGTGGCCCTTAGCCATATTATATTTTGATCCATATTCATGATAATAGAGAAGTCAATTAAAGTTACATTGAAATGCCATTTTCATCATTGAGATTGGGAATTCATTCTGTAGGCAAGGCTGTGAGGAAACCCTCTTAAATTGCTAGTGGGAATTCAGACTGTAATTATTATAGAGGGCAGTTAGGCAATAATTAGCATAACCATGTGTGCATCGCGATGTTAATCCTGGTTGTCAATTTGACTGGATTGGGAGTTGTCTAGAATATTGGTAGAGCACTGGTCTGTGTGTGTCTCTGAGGGTGTTCCAGACAAAGGAGGGAGGGAAACCTACCCTGAATGTGAAAGCTGATGTAGAATGAAATGGGAAGGGGAAACTTGTGCTTGCTGGACAGCCAGTTCTTCAGAGTGTGTGGTTTTTTAGTTGCACATGGCCCATGAAAATTAGAGTACTGATTCTTTAGCATTTGAAATGGATTTGCATCAGTGACTCTCCAGGGAGCTTCCAATACTCCAGCCTTGGTCCCTGTTGTTTTGAGTCTTCCAGCTTCTTGGATGAGAAGCTACTGTCTTCCCTAGTTCTTCAGCAGGCAGATGATCACTGTGAGTCTTTCTGGCCTAAGCTAATCTAGCAAATTAT